GCTAACATGTGTCTTTAGTTGTGGCTCTGGGAGCACTTCCCTGTTTCTGTAGCCTCAACCTACCCAGCTTTGTGGATTAGAGGAAGTGTTGTGCCATAGGTGGGAGGGAGGAGGCTGTGTCCTGCCCCTTTGTCCTGTGGCTGCCTGAGCGCTGCTTTACACAGCAGCAGGGCATCCTGGCCCCCAAAGAGTTTCCAGGGGTCTGGGTGTGATGTAAAAGTGTAACCATCACTTGGAAAAAGTGACGGTGAGGCTTGCAGCAACCAGCAAACACTCTTTGGGATAAACAGGATACCACTACAAAGGGTTTGGCCACCCTGCTTACTCCCACAAAGTATACAGATAGTGGGATTCCTGACTGGGAAAGGTCAACCCTGCTCTGGTGTGTTGCTTTCTGACAGTGGCAGAGGCTCTCTCCTTCCACAGCACAGCACTCCAGTCATCCCTCAGGGCAGAGGGCACTGCACATGCAAGAGCTATCTAAAGCATCCAAAAGGTCCCAGAGGCTGGCCCTTCTTAGAGTCTCCAACCCTTCTTGCTGCCTAAAATTGGATTTGGGGTGTATTTCTTTGCAGCAAGGTAAGGAAAAAGCAGAGGAAAACCTCAGGTTTCCATGAAGAAGTGCCTGTCAGACTTTGCTGTGGACAGGCTGAGCATCTCTGATGCAGTCTTTCAATTGAGGCACCAGCAGGCTAAAGGGGGGGTTGTTTGGATTTTGATGTTTCATTGTAGTGTCCCAGAGCAGGTTCCTTCAGACATGGAAATGTTTGAATGAGGCTTTGCAATATCAGGTGCTAAGCAAAATGTTGATTTTTTAAAAGTATTTTTTTCCACATTTTCCTGGAGGTCAGAAATTTTCCAGATGTATGGGAATGAGGCTGTGCTAACTTGTACAGCAACCCTGGTGGAAAATTTTTCACTTGACCCAGAATTCATATGCAATGTTCTTGCTGCCCAGTGTTCTGCATCCCTGCTGGAGTGAGTCTGACTAATTTTTGCCTGTGACTCAGAACAGAGATGTGTTAGGAACCTCTTTTATTTTTTTTTCCTTTTGAAAAATGAAGTGAAAGTTTATCAAACTATGGTTATATGAGAGCATGGCCCGCCAAATGAGGAAGTAAAACCTTCCTATAAAATGAGTTCTGCCCACTGCACTTATTTGCCTCTGTTGACATCAGCCTTACCTCTAAATACGAGCTGGTGACTTCCTCATGAGCCTGGTACTGCTCTGAATCCAGCTTTTGGCTGGAGATGGTGGGACAAGACTGCTGGGCCACAGAGAGAACAGCTGCCAGGTAAGGTGCAGAGCAAGAGGGGTTACCTGTGGGGACAGCTTGCTCCTGGGGAGTTTGGCTTTATTATTTTTAGCAAATGGAGAAAGGAAGGTGGGGAAGAAAAAGGCAGATCTTTTCTTAGTTATCAAGACAACAAATGTCTGGTGTTGCTGTGGAGAGTTTATAAAGAGTTATGTGCATCTTTCATTTGTGAAAATAAAAATTCTTGCTCTTGTGAAGGTAGAACAAGCCCCACCAGGACTGACAGCTCAAATGGGCTGTCAGTCTTAGGTGGTTTGCAGTGTCATTGTCAGGGGTGAAGGAGGAAGAGGGGTGAAGTGGTCCAGCCCCGAGGTGTGAGGGGCAACACAACGTGAGTGGCAGGGAGCTGTAGCTGTGCTTTTTGCGCTGCTTGGCATACACATGACCCTTATCCTGCTCTGCCTTGACCACTGCCAGGTCTGTCTGGCGCTGTGTCCCCTCTGCCTCTGCTTGGGCAGAACGGGGGGCTTTGAAGAGCCCTGTGAGTCAAACTGGTCTTTATTGTGGTTCTATGGCCTGAGGCTGCGGGAGGTGCTGCTCTGACTGGTTGGAAGAGGAGCAAACACCTGGTGGAAGGAAAAATTATTCTTTAAAGTCATTCGAGATGTAGTAGTTACCACCACTTCTTTGGAAAATGTTCTCAATTATAAAGTTCTAGTCTTAAAAATCTGTCAAAATATACCAAAAGCAGAAAAACAGAAGAGTTTTTTTGATTTTTTTTTTTTTGGTCAAAATTACTCATTGAAATATTAACCTTCTACTGAAGTAAAATTTTGGAAATCTGACTGAAGCAATTTCTTCTGTGTGTATCTGTAAGAGGAGTCACAACAACACAGAGAGAGTGCTTTTTAAGCTAGAACATAAGATGGGCACACCATTATCTGTGGATAAATTATTCTGTGAAATGAGAAGACTTTGGCTTTCAATGGAATGAAAACAAAATCAGATTCCAGTGGGATCAGCTGAGATGAAGGGAGGAAAGTGGCAGGAGGAAATCTAGGCAGTTTGCAAATGAAGGTCATAAAGTTTATAAATGCAATTTCACAACCTGTTTGTGATAGTAAAAGCTGGACTCTGTGATACACAATTTCTCCTCTTGTCTGTTTTTTATGCTGGTTATAAGCAGCCAGCTGACCTGCTGGACTTGGGCACACTCCTGACTGTTTACTACTGTGTAAGCCAGGGATTTTATTGCCCTTTAATTCCCCCTTGAGAAAGGTGACCTCAGTGTTTTCTGTGACCAAGGCTTCCATCTCAGTTTTTCCAAATTATTCTCTCTGTGGTGAAAACCCTGCAATGCCTGTATCACCCATTTATGATGTTTGGCCACACTGCAACAGAAATCCAGTGGTTAACTTTGCAGAATTACCACACTGCTGGTGATGGCTGATAGTGCATCACATCAAGCCCAGGCAGCCATCCGGAGCTCAGCACTTCCCATGCACACCAAGCCAAAGGGAGTCACTGCTTGCACGGAAGTCTGCACACTTTGCTTCCTTGCAAAAGGAAGCAAAGTGTGCAGACATGGACTGTGGGCTTGGTGCTGCTTGGGATGGAGCTAGGAATGTGTTGTGGTGAACAACTTCCATCCAGCACCTGCTCATGTGCACTGGAGGCTGCAAGGCGGACGTGGCCTCTGCCCCCTCTGCAGCAGGTAAAATTCTAAAGGATTGAATCAAACCTAATTTCAGGTGAATTCCAGGACAAACATCCATGCAACACAGTGTGATGCTAACATGGGAAATTGTTCTGATAGTAAAAGATAAGGGGGAGAGAAAAAAAAGAAAAAAGAAGAAAAAGCATCAGAGTAGGCAGAAGTACAGGTTTGAAAATAATAGTAATGGCAATTAAAATATGTGGTAAATATTTTCTTTTCAACCTGAAGATATACTAAGAAAAGTTTTAATTAGCAAAAATTTATTTTTAAAAGTCTAGGCATTAAAAAAAAAAAAAAAGAAGTAGCAAACTTTAAGTGTTTGGAGCCACCAATTCCATACCTGGAAGCAGGTTTTACGTGGTGCTAGCCGAGATGTGGCTGCTTCTGCTTTATTTGGTTACATCAGTGTATTTCAGCTCAGATGGTAGCTGTTCCAAAGATGAGAAAACATTTCATTAATGAAAAAACATTTTCATTTTAATCTTTAGTCAATGAATTAAAAACAAGGATTAGATGTAAAAATTGTTACAGAGTGCACGGTGAAGAAAACAGTCACTGACTAAAATAAGCAATGCTTTAGTTTAGATGGAAAAATACACACGGTAACTGTTTTCCCCTTACAGGTATGACATATTTAAAGTATGTGGTTTTTTTATTGATGCTGTTTGTCATTTTTAACTGAGTGCCAGATTTCTCCCAGAGAATACCTGAAATTTATAAAGTCACATAGAAAAGTAAAGTTCAAAGTTTCACGAGGTGAAGTTATAACTAATTATCATGTTTTCCTGCTGAACTAATCAGTTTTAAATAACCTGAACCCAGTGTGGATTTCTTCCCCAGAGCCTGAGAAGGCTTTTATGCCTTGGGGAGGAGCTTCACTCTGAATCCTCTCCCAGCTGCTTGTTTCCAGTACCTCCCTGCCTTCTTCCACATGGTGTCAGCTTCTGGCCCAGTGTGGCCCACTGCTAGGCAGGGAATGGCTGGCAGGCTGGGAAGGGGAGCTGGAGGGTGGGATGTGGTTCTGGCTCTGGGCTCAGCACGGAGGGGGTTGTTTGGTCAGCTAATTCTGCATCTGACTGCAGTCAGCAAAGGGAAGATGGCCACCCTTACATCCCCCATGTGGGCAAAAGAACCAGCCACAGCTTTTATCCAGATAGCACCAATAATTGCAGTGATGTGGCAAGAGATGCTTCAGTGCAAGCAAGCCAACAGTGACTGAAGGTGTTTGGCTTTACAGATGAGTGGTCAACCTGTATGTTCTCCTGTGTCATGCTTGTTGGGCTTGGGCAGTTCTGGGTATCCCTGACTATGCTGCCCATCACCTTCATTCACTGGGTAGACCAGAAATGTACGTGGTGCCATTCTGGGGAATATGAAGTAGCTTTTTGCTACTTTTGCACACTCATTTCTGAATTACCTTGACAATAATCGTAAGTGAAATTGAAACCGCTTTCTGGATCACCTGCTTCAAGGCACCGTCCTGACAGCTTTCAAAAAAACAAGTTGCTTCTCTGAAAATAAAAGCCCTCACCAAAATAGCAAGTAACAGGAAAAGAGTAGTCAGGCATCATTAGAACTGATGAGTGACAGAATTTCAGAATTCGTGTCCGTATACACACAGACAGATACATAGGAGGAAAGAGAAAACTATAAAAATAAATCTGTTTCCAGATACTTTGCAAACAGCGTGTTTCCTTAAATCACTGGATGAAATTTGCAATGCTTGTTAAGTTGCTATGGCACCTGAGCCCGTCCAGTAAAACCTGATAGATATTTATCTCAGGCTGAGAAACCACACAGCAAGTTGAAAATCCCCTTTGTGTCATTTCCTGTGAGATAAGTCTGAAGAACCAGCTCACGCATGCAGCCTGTCTGCGTACAGGCAGCCTGGCATAGCTCACCGAGTAAAGTGACACCTGTGTGACATAATGTTTGCAGAGTGACGAACATTGCATGGGACACTCTGGTGCTTTTATAGTTAAGAGCAGACCAGAAAAATGCTTTAATGCTGAGAGAAGACAGGACACTCTCCTTAGAGAGAAGACAGCTAATCTGCTGGTCTCTGCCATGCACTAGGCAAAGAACTGAGATGATTGCATGTTCTTTCTTAATGCTTGTGTTTTGTTGTTGCTAATCTTTCCCTCCATGAAGCTGATGCCTGTGGGATGCAGCTGGGAAGACAGGATCATCAGGCTTAAAGGAACATAAATTCTTGCTAAAATGGCACTGGCCAGTTCGATTCCTAGCAAAGCAGCACCACCACACTCCAGAAAAGTTTCTGCAGCAGGGGTGGAAGTGCACCAGAGCAAGATGGATTTTTTCTGCAAGCTGGGCTATGGTAAGCAGGACATCTGCAAAGTGCTGGAGAACCTGGGCCAAGAGGCCCTGGAGGATGATGTGCTGAAAGAGCTGATTCGGATGGGGAGCAAACCTCAGGCTCTGGAGAACCAGGCTCAGCCTTCCCAGCTGAAGCTGGTTGCCCGAGGATCGTGCAGCACCGCACTGGGGCCAAAGTGGCTTGGAGAAGATGAAAGTGATTCTTCTGATTCTCTGAGGCCCATTGTGATCGATGGCAGCAATGTCGCAATGAGGTAAGCTCACTTCCTGAAAGGCATCTCTCTTCCTCTGAAGTTTTGACTTTTAAAACTGATGGCTTGAAGTGTGTTTTTCCTTCAGGTGAGAGGGGCATTGATGCATTTGATGTAAGAACAATTGCTTATTCCTGTTCTTTGGCTGATGCACAGCTTTTAAGGACCTGCTGTCTTGATGCCCATGAATATGCACTTCACATGCAATTACTGGCTAGCTCTGCGTTCTGACCTCTAAGGGAACCTCTGCCAACTGTTTGTGGCAGTGTCTCGGCCTTGGAGCTCACCAGTAAATTACCCACCCTTTCCAAATGGGCACCTAGGATTTCTAAACCTGAGATGTTTCCAGGGAAAATCTGATGAACAGATAGACAGACCACTCAGTCAATCTAAGGGAGGGAAAATAAAGTCAGGTGACTGTGGTTTCTAACAATATCACAGTTTTACTGCTTTGTCTTGCAAGTAAACTCCAAAAGGAAACAGAAGCCAAATCGAAAACCAACAAAAATTATACAAGCTGGGAATATTTCCCAGCTTGTATAATTTTTGTTGGTTTTCAATTTGACTTCTGTTTTAGGTAAATATCAGGGAATTGATAGCTGACTTGTATTGAAGAGATTCATTTCCTCCTTAGTCATTCTGTTTCTGGGAAATGTCGCATCAACCCATGCTGGCCAATTACATTTCCTGAGCACAGCCCTGGCACTGTGAAAGTGCTCTTACAGATGGGGAGCCTGGGGAGCCCCAAGACAGCAGTAAGTTGGCCTCTGTTTATCCAAGCAATACGGAGCCAAGAGTGCAGGATGCACTGGCTATCCATCTCTTTTCTCTGTTAACTTCCCTGTCCACTCAGCAGGGCCAAGCCCATCCCTGCAGGCTGGGACAGGGAAAAGGAGGACTTCCTCCTTCTGTTAGCCATCTTGTGAGATGAGATGTGACCATATCCCCTCTGGTTAGAGAGAAAAGTGGCCAAGTACATCCAGAGCAACTGGAGACTAAGCAAATTATGCCATCTTGTGGGTGAAGGGAGAAATCCCAGACAAAACCAAGAGGTTCCCTGCTCAAGGGAGCTCATGAAGAGTGGAAAATACAAAACAGGGCAAAATTGTTTTGCCTTGGCTTGGCCATGAGCTTGGTATCCAGATGTTAGGATCTCCTGCTCTGCTTTGCCTCTTCATCCAAGCCCTTCCTCAGGGTGTCTTTCTTGCCTCTCTGCAAAAGAACTGAGCACCCACTCAGGCAGTGTGGCTGAGCTGATCACCCGTCCTGCCATTGTGCTGGGGTCAGTATTACCCACGGTGGGCCATGGGCTCTGTTCTCCGCTCTCCTGGCACAGCAGCTTTAAGTTTCAGAAAGGCAAAGGCTTTACAGCTCTTCTCAGACATCCCAACCTCTCTCTTGATAATGAGTCTGTGGATGATGGAGGAGACTATTGAGCTTGTCGGTTCAGTAGGTACTGAAAGTGTACAGCTGCTTTCCTCTCCTGGATGCCGTTCAAAGTGGTGCTGAATGGCATTTGCTTTGCTAATTGCTATGGGTAAAAACTGATCCAGCCAATTTAATAAAAATAAAAGTAAATTTATTCGCGACTGATGTACAGTCCTGACCGCCAACAATCAAGGACAGCACCGACCCCGGGATCGGAGCTGGGTGAACTCAGATCCGGCCTCTATCGCACCGAATCCCCCCTGTTCACCAATGGTGCTTGGCAGAGTCCAAGTTTTATACTCTTTTTCTTGCCTGCGGCAGAGTCCCTTTGTCTTTCCTCGGGGTTCTTCATATTCATGTTGCCTCTATTCTCTGTCCTGTGCTGAACAAAACCTCGTCTGGAATTGATGTGTATCTGTCTCCACTTCCCGGAATCCCGCATTCAGATGTCTGTCCTTGATGGTCCTGTCTGAGATGAACATCTCCATGGGCCATCATCGCTGGGCGTGCTCTCGTTCATGCCAGCGAGAACGCCCATCTCCTGTGCGGGCTGGGTCCACTTGGTATGTTGATGACACACCTCCTCCTCACTGCCAGCTGCGGTTTCGCCACCCCGTGAAGCAATCCCCTTCTCCCTTGCTGGTGTGATTTCAAGGTTTTATATTTTATTCTTATATATATATATATTTTATCAGCACGAATTACCATCATATACATAACACTAATGGGGTAGGCCTGGTCAGTGCTTTCAGTATCCTTGCTTTAATTTTTCTGGCTTGCTGCTGACTTACAGAGAAGGACGTTTGCAGATGTCAGGGGAAAGGGATGTTAGGTTCCCTTACTGGAGAAAACTCCATCATCATCAATACCAACAACCATAAAAGTGCAGCAGAAGCAGCAGTTTAGGAATGAAACAATCAAGAGGTTAGAGCTTCAAGTGGCAGTTGTTTGTGTGGAGAAAAATATCTCAAGCATTTATACTTCTATCTTAGGATTGCTGTTTCTGGAGCATTTTGGAGTTGGCATTGAGGGCCCACTGTGGAACGCAAGGTTTTGAAAAGGAGGAATATGCCCCAGGGTAATAAAGCAACTGCCTTGGCAGTCTCCAACCATCAGTCAGCCTACCCAGAGAAGCTGAATGGAAAATAACCTTGCCTTCAGCCAGTCTCACTCATCAGGCATCTCAGTACACTTGGTGTTTCCATCAGTGTAATGAGAAATTTCGTCAGCTGCCAGCCTATCCATGGGAAGTTTAGCAAGGCTGGTGGAAAAAATAAATGGAGTTGTATTAATAGAGAAAGGGAAGTGTCATAACCATATTCACTGCACTCTGAAGAGGCTGCTATCTCCTCTAGGCCTTGCAATTACACCAAGTTTTAAAGCTGTGGTAGCTACAGAGGCCTGTTCCTATGCCTTTCTGACAAAGCTTTGGCTGATGTGTCATGACCACATGGAGATGGGGCCTTTTGCAGTTTTCAAAAGAAGCTGGTTTGCCTAAACTATCTCTCAAAGGAGTTGGAATGGTACAATTTACAAAGGATGCTAATGGTGGATTATCTGCTGGAGTGACAGAGATGCCAGATTGCTGCTCCGTTTTCTGAGAGATGGGCCCTGCAGGTCTGTGACCCCGTGCAGTGTACCCTGCTGCTGGCAAGAGGCAGAGATGGGGCTGAGGTCTGACAGCTCACAGATGGGTTTTGGTCCATGGCCTGCGGGAATGCGTGAGAAAGGTGACTGGCAGGAGCCAGTCTGTGCCCACACAGGGAGGATGGGGAGCTCTGAGGACCCTGCTCCATGGCACAGCAGTCACTGCTGTTCCATGGGGATGTGCAGCCCCCACACATGTTCAGACTCGTTCAGGTGGCCACAGGTCTGGCTGTAGCAGTGTAGCAGCAGCTGGATTAGGTGATAATGCTCAGGAGCAGTTCCAGGTGCCTCATCTTCCTTGTTCCACTCAGCCTTTTGGCTGACCCACTTGTGCTTGAGTTCTTTACTTTCTGCACAGGATTATATATACAAATAGCTAGTATTTAAGAAAGATGTTGCTGAACTTTGTTTGAGCCGTGGCATCAAAGATGTACCTGGACTGAATTTTAAAGGCAATTATCTGAAAAAGTCACTCAAATTTCCAATTCAACAGTCCAGATGATGTTATGAATATCCTGGAAAGATCCTATCCTTTAAAACCAAACAAAACAGCTGTTCTAAAATGGAGATATGTCAAGCACATCAGACCATTTATTGTTGCCAAAGGTTTTTAATAACTTCCTATTGCCTTGCTAGCTCTTAATAGTCAGCCAGGTTTCTTCCTACAAATTGTGCTATTTTTCATCTGTGGTCACCATTTCAGGGCAGAAACTTTTATTGGGTGTAAACCAGAGCTTTGGTTATGAGGCTGGTGTAGACAGATCCTAGAGATGAATCCCTGGGAGGCTGGTGGGAGATTCATTTAAGACTGTGGCATCACCCTTGACTGGTCTGTCAGTGCAGGTGGGTGTAGCAGCTAGGAGTCGTTCACAAGGGCTTTTTGCAGTGGTGAAAGCCTGAGTGAGACTGGCAATATTATGCAGAAAGGTCGAAGTACAATGATGAGCATACTGTAGATACTGTGAAGGCATTTATCCACTTAGGACTTTGGGTACAAATTAAAATTAAAATTAAATTTAATTAATTAATTTAATTAATTAATTTTTTAATTTTAATTTCCTTGTGCAGAGGTAGTTAACAAACTACCTTCCTTTATAGATACACTGTGCTATAGTAAAATTTTTAAAAAGTGAATGCCAAGCAGCAGGAACTTTCAGAGAATGTGGGACATTTGGAAGGATGTCACCCCCAGCTGTTTTCCTTGAGGTTATTTTCTGTCTTATGCTGCATATTGATTTCTTCAGAACCCATCTTGCTGGCACTTCTAGAACACTTGTCTTAGGGCTTTCCTACCTCTCTGTGCAATGAAGAAAATATCCATCAACTAGAACAAGACAAAAGTGGGCCTGAGTTGCCTGTGGCCATCTCCACTGATGTCTTGTCCCTTTTTTGGGTCTCTGGATTTCCTATCCTGCCTCTTACAGTTTTTCTTCCCCCTTATTTTGTCTCTTGTTTTGAAAAAAGATCACCAGTGGAGTGCCCTGTGATCACACCTGCAGCCACTTCAGTCATTAAAATCTCCAAAGGCCCTGTTACCACAGAAGAATATTCCCACAATTTTGTTTCTCACAGGACCCTCATGGGTTTCTGCTTGTGCAGGAAGAAACTCTCACCCCTCAAACCTTATTCACACAAGGACCATGAAGGGTTTGACAAGACCTAAGATCTTGTTGGTACTTTAGAACTTAAGTCCATCCAGATACAGATGAAAGGAATAGGCTCGGGTCACAGAAATGGGGGATAGGATACCTCTGTTTTTAAGTATCCAAGCTGTTTCAGATAAATCTTTGCCTCTGCTGGAGGAGGTGTTTGGATCTGTCCCACCAGAACACCCTGCCAGTTGTTTTCTTGGAAACTGGTGAATGACACAAAAGCTGTTTATTTTGCGTTTTCATTACTGGCTCAGTTAAAGAGAACTCTAAGCTTCATGAAAGCTTTGCCTCATCATCCTCTCTCTTTCTTTACAGTCATGGAAACAAGGAGGTGTTCTCCTGCTGGGGGATCCAGCTGGCGGTGGATTGGTTTCGAGAGAGGGGGCACACTTACATCAAGGTTTTTGTCCCACTCTGGAGAAAGGAACCCCCTCGACAAGAGAGCCCCATTGCAGGTAGGTCACCATCCTGGGCGTAATTTGGCAGCCATTAGGTGCAGTTTGGAGACAGAGGGGGTGTGAAGAACCCAGTACAGTTGTTTTTCCTGTAAAGACAAGCACAGTACAAGTTGTGTATCAGGCTTCCCTCACTTAAATGAGTCATTAATTCATTGCCCCATTCAGTGCTCCTGGCTAGCAGCTAAAACTGCTTACAAGGCTTTGTTACACTGCTTTAAACCTTCTGCTTAACAAGCACAAGGTGCTGCCAAGCTGAGTTAAAGAAGGAGTTTGTCAGCTTGCAATGAGTCTATGGAGCCTTTGAGGCCTGCCAGGAGACAGTGGTGTTCATTACTGCATGGCTATTATCTGTCAGCCTGCTACCCAACACAGAGGGCGTCTCCCTTCCAGGAGAAGAAAATACATCGGCAGAAATCTGTGGAGGGGAGTGAGACTCAGTTTGTGGGGAAATAGTTTGTCTGGAAACCAGCCAGGTTTGTGCCAGCAGCTTGGTGAGTGCAGATGAGGCGGGTCTGCCTTCCTGCAGAGAAGGAATGGCAAGAGGTCAGAGTGTCCTCAACAGCAGCAAAAGAAGTTTATTTATGTATTTTATCACACACATTTTATCTCCATGTAAAGCTTGCATCAGGGCTGGTTATGAGCCTTCTGGCATCTAGCAGGGTATCAGACTCTGGTGTAGAATTCAAGGCACTCTTTTACAGATAAGACTTAAAAATCAAAAAAGGGTGTCTCAAAATTTACGGGTTAGGTAAAGCCTCTTTGTAAAAGATCTCATTTTCAAGTTGCCAAATAACCACCAGATATCACTGCATCTGAAAATTGGACCTTGAGTTTCCTAAAGTGCTGAAATATCTTTAGATTCCTGTAGGTTTCTAGCAGATGTCTGAGACCAGGTCATAATTAATTAATTAGTTTCTCTTTTATTTTTTGCTTCCCTCATCTACTTCTGCCAATCCCCCCACCAGACCAGTACATCCTTGAGGAGCTGGAGAAGCAATCCATCCTGGTGTACACACCCTCTCGGAAGGTGAAAGGCAAGAGGGTGGTTTGCTATGACGATCGCTACATAGTGAAAGTTGCTTACGAGAGAGACGGAGTCATTGTTTCCAATGACCACTACCGGGATCTCCAAAATGAGAACCCCGAGTGGAAATGGTTCATTGAGCAGCGACTGCTCATGTACTCTTTTGTCAGTAACAGGTAAGAGATGATGGTGTTATACAATTTAGAATTTAAACATTATGGGCCAAGTCACCTCCAGCATCAGAGTGCCTCCCATCAGTAGCAGAATACAGGAGCCTTTTTATGAAAGGAATTTACTGCAGCTTTTCTTATCTCGTTTCTTGAGTGTCCTACTGCCTCAGCTTTGGTCTTAAAACCTCCCATGTCACTCTTCTATGAACTTTTCTACTTGAATGGCAGCATCAGTGACCAGCTTTGCTTCTTTCCTATCCAATTTTTGATGTTGAACCAAGGGCTGGTATCTTTTAATTTCTATTTCCTGTAAGAAGCAGAATTAAATCCATGAGAGGAGGCTGGTTGGCAGTATTTTTAATTCCCCTACACAACAAAATAGGGCGTTTCCCTGTGTTTCTGCAGTCATAGCTTGCTAGAAGAGACAAGAAGCTGGTCTCTCTGGCCCTTCACTATCCCTGCTGAGAGAAGGTTTCCATTCTTCCTGCGAGGCTGAGCTGAGTCTCCTCAGTCTCTTCTTCTGTCTTCTCTCCCCAGTTTCCTGATAGCTGAGGTGTCCAGGGAAAATGCACTTCACTGAGACATCCAGTGTGCACAGACATGTGCTTACATCGATGGCTTTTTTTACTTTTCCAGGTTTATGCCTCCCGATGATCCATTAGGCCGGCATGGACCCACCTTAAGTAACTTCCTCAGCAAAAAGCCAGTGCTTCCTGAGAAAAAATGGCAGCCTTGCCCTTATGGTGGGTTTCTGTCCATGCTGTGACCTTCCCCCTGCTCCCCATCAGTGCTCTCCCTCGGCCAGGGGCCACTGCCACGTGCTGTCCTGCTTCCTGTGGTAGGCACTTGGGTTGGGGTTGCTCAAAGGTGTGATGCTTTTTCCCCCTCCTGCTTGAGTGGCTTCAGCCTCAGCAAAGGCAGCAGATTTTCTGGCCCCTCCATCCTTTCGTGCACACAGCACCCACAGGCACTGTGGCTGTGCGGACTGTCCTGCCCACACACACTTCTCACTTGGTGGAGTGCATTCTGCTGCAGCACTTGGGAATGGCCATCCAAACAATTTCCCTCTCTCCCCTCCCCACAGCCCCCCAGAAACACGCAAGTTTCTCAGAGGAAAATCCCTATGCTATTTTTTAAAGCCACCTTTTGTAGTAGCAGACCTCCCAGCCCACTGAGTGCAGGAACTGAAACATGAACATCAGACACCTCCAAAATAGCAGAGACTTCCTTTCACTGCTGCTTCACCCTGCTATTAATATCAGCAATATTTAAATCTGGAGTCAACAGTACTGAGTTTGAAAATAGTACTTCCTCTTTTTTCTGCTCCTCGCACCCAGTGCTGGGGAGAAGCGATGTGTGCATTAATTGATGTTGGTGCTAGTGACAACTTCCTGTCTGATTTGTTTTTATCCTTTCAGGTAAAAAATGCACCTATGGCAATAAATGCAAATTTTACCATCCAGAGAGACAGCATCAAGCTCAGCTTTCAGTTGCTGATGAGCTCAGGGCCAAAACAAAGGTCCCGTTAGCCCCGGGGAAAGAGGAGGAGAGGTGCCAGTGCTCACCGTGCGAAGCCTGCACAGAAACTCTGCGGGAAGCCAGAGGCTGCTCCGGGCCTTCCTGCTGCCCAGGCAGGCCCCAGGGCAGCTGCTCGGAGCAGACATTCCGGGCCTGGCCCAGCAGTCCTGGCTCTGACCTGCGGCTGGACCAGCGCTTGCCACAGCCAGAGCCGCTCCTGGAGGCGATGTCGGGCTTGTCCATCAGTGACGGCGCCTACGGCTGCGGCTGGTCCGTATGCACCTCTGGGGACAGGGCGGTCATGGACAGCCCTCACCCCTGCTCCGGCCTCAGGCACAAGCTGCTCGCACTCGGCCACCCTCAGGGCTTGGAGCGCCCCGGCTCCCCGCGCTGCCCCTTCCAGGGAGCGCCGCCCGCGCAGGGCGGGATGTGCCCGGAGCGCGGCTGGGCCCGGGAGCGCCCTGCCGGGCACGGAACAGGCCACGGGAGCCGCTCCTTCCCTCGTGGTGCTCGGCACCAACAGGCCCTGCAGACCCAGCACCCTCTTGTGCCGCAGTGCACAGCTCTGTGCCCCGACAGGCTTCCCCCGTACGGGCAGCCCCAGCCGCAGCCGCAGCGCGGCGTCCCCAGGCCACCCCCGGGACAGCCCTTGCGCTTGGAGTCCAGCAAGGGAACGGGCTTATTCCAGAAAGCCCGTGCTTACCCCGATGCCTCTTATGGGGACTACTGGCCCACCCCAGCTGCAAGGCCACCCTCTGCCCGGCAAATAAACATACACAGGGAGCTCTGCTCCCCTTATCCTTACGGTGGGATGAGCCAGGTCATGACTTTGTACCCCAGTATCCAGGATAAGGGGACTGGAGCACCTCCCCTATAAAGACAAGCTCGGGAAGCTAGGGCTGTTCAGCCTGGAGAAGAGAAGTTTGCATGGAGACCTCATAAAAACCTTCCAGCATCAGAAGAGAGCCTACAAGGAAGCCAGAGATGGACTCTTAATCAGGAAATGCAGTGATAGTACACAGTGGGATGGCTTCAAACTGAGACAGGGTACGTTTAGATTAGATTTCAGGATGAAATTCTTAATTCATGTGTGGGTGGTGAGACAGAGCTTGCTCAGAGAAATTGTGAATGTCCCATCCCTGGAAGTGTTTAAGGCCAGGTTGGATGGGGCCCTGAACAATCTGGTCTGGTGAAAGGTGTCCCTGCCCATGGCAGCAGGGGTGTTGGAACTGCAGAATTTTTTATGTCCTTTCCAACTCAAACAGTTCCGTGATTCTATGATATTGCCTGTTGGACTTTAATGATTCAAAGACACAGAAACTTGTGAAACCTCCAGAGCAAACCATTCCCAATAAGCACAAGTCCCAGGGCAAGAAGATGCTGTTCTGAGTCTTAACTAACTGTTTTTAGAGGGTGTTAAGGCAAGGATTACAGCTGCTCCAGGCATAAGCATCAAGTCAAGGCAAAGCTGTCATCCATGGCAGTGGGATTGCATTCCACCTCTTCTGAAGGAGAACAGGAGGGCTCAGGGGAACTTGGCTGTCAGCATTTGAGCCTCACTGGTGCCTGGATTGAGGATGGCACAGATTTTCACTAATGCCCTGAAACACTCGATGTGTTTTTGGAGTCCTAACCTGTGGTTCAACGTCCATAAAAGAACCGTGCTTGCTCAGCCAGCACAGAAGGGGATTTGGCCTGTTCCCCCAGCACAGGGCTGTGCTCTCTGCTGGAAGGCAGCTCTGGGTCCCTGTCATCACCTGGTTCAAGCCCAGCCCGCTGCCAGTGAGCTTTCAGAGCTGCATCTCGTGCTTCTAAAGCAGTGCTGAGCTCACACAGAACCACTAGCAGAGGGGCTGGAGGTGCTCCAGAGCACCTGAAGGAAGACACAGGTACATTTCTCAGAAAAGGGATGCACACAGCATAAATCAAATCAGGAAAGTCATCTTCAATTCAAGTCCTGGTGTAGACTGAGGGCTCGGGGCTGGTAATTTAAAAAAATCCAGAAGTCCAGATGATGCTAAAGAGAGAAAAAAAAAAAAAGCTTAAAAGTCTCTCCTGTATTGAATAAGTAGTCTATTGTTGACTTAACCCTTAATTACCAAATGTGGCCCCATAATGCAATTATACAGTAAACTATGTTCTGTTAGGACATGTTTGGTTTTCAGTAAGCTGTAAAGCTGCTAATCTCTGCATTATTCCACTGAATGCTTCAGGTTCAATTCAATTAGTAAGGTTGATCCTGAAGGGTTTTTGGCATTATACCAAAGTTTAAGTATGTCAGTATGACATGTTTTAAAAATGTTTTAACACATTATAAAATGTTCATCTATAACACTTTGTTCTCAATAATGTCTTTATTTTCTGGATTTTACTTAGGTGGTGGGGGGTTTTGTTGTTATTTTGTTTAGGTTTTGTTTTGTTTTTTTCCCCCAGTTGTCTTAGAACTAATGCTTCAACATCAGGTGGGATTTTCAAACTCTCTGACCTTGCAGGATCTCATTTCTCTGAAGTGCAGCATTGTTAGTTCCAGACAGGAATTAAACACAGTCCTCAGTGAGAAGTTGGAATTCTGTTGCTTTTGCAAAGGTAGCAGTAATTTACCCTTAGTGACACTGTCATTTATGAATTATGAATTTTTTGAAAGCTGTGATAGTTTTATCTGTTTCCCTCTGGAAACAACCACCAACTTTTGGTTTTTTGGTTTTGTTGTTGGGTTTTTTTTGGTTTTTTTTTTTGTTTTTTTTTTTTATGATGGTGTTTGAAGAATCTGCAGAAAATAAGTATCTGTGTCTGTTCAATTTCTTATGCCCCTCTGGCTGGCTTCAAGAAACAGCAATTTGGATTTTGGAGGTATGACTTCCATTCATAGAACGTGACAGTACTTTCCATATGCCCTATGGATTGTTGGAATGGCTTATATCCACTACATATTACATAAGGATTAGAAGCTGACTTTAAACAAAACTATGGAAAAAATTCTCTGTGATATGCCTCAAAAAATAGAGACAAAGTGTGATGCTGAGTGGAAAAATGCCTTCCACCCAAACAAAGCAAGTCCCAAATGGCAGCATTCAGAAAACACACACACAGCAAAGGAGCAGGATGTAACTGTACATGTCAACATTCATTTTCATGTCTGGCATGCACATTACATATTTCAATACACAAAGCATTTAAAAATCCATAGGAAAATTGGCACACTGCCTTTATATGGTGCCCTTGGCTTGCTGGAGATGTGCATGAACTTTTCTCCTTTTCCTTTGAGGATGCACAGGAATTTGGTGGTTGTTCAAAACCCTCTCAATGTTTAATAATTTTTGCCTTTTAATTTCTGTCATATTTACTGAGGAATCTTTTTGTCAAATACATAGAATGTGCACTCTGCTGAGAAAGTGTCTGAGAAAATAAATCAAACTTTGGTGCTAAACAGAACTTGATTTCTCTTGGCTCTTGTGCTCACCAGAGGGTTTTTGTTCTCATGGGGATTTTGTTGGAAGGGCAGCTCAGCAGCAGCTCCGTGTCACTGCCTGAGAGGAACTCTGCTGCTGGCCAGGAGCCCACGGAAAACAGGGAGTGTTTCCCTGTTTCCAACAGCACAAGCACATGGGGCTCAGGAGCTCCTGCTGCAGGGCCTTTTGCTCTTTCCAAAGCAGGGATTTCTATTTGCCTTTGTCAGCCCCTGGAGCAAGGGAAAGGGCTGCGAACAGACAGGAGGCGGCGGCTCTTGGGCAGGGGGGTAAGAGGCTGTTGCTATTTGGTATCTCTGCTGAGATGCATTTGAGGCCAGCTCTCGCTGCCAAGTTGCAAATGAACCCATAAATCTTAACAGGCTCAGAAAGCCCTTGATGTTCTTTGCTGTTTGGTTGTCAAGACTCTTTTAGAAGAAGCTGGAAGCACTGAGAGCAATCTTCTGGGAGATGGGCTGCTTTCCCAAGGGAGATTTACAGAGTTGCCAAGTTCATTTTAAGAGAAAAAAGAAAGAAAAAAGGCAAAAAAAGAGAAAGAGCCAGAGAAAAAATCCTCTTACTTTCTCTACACTCAGCCCTTCCCAAAAGGGCAGAAAGCCAGAGACACCCTCCCTTGCAAGGGGCTAGGGAAACTAAACACAAATATTTCACTGAGAAATCTTGGGTCAGCCCTGCAATAGCTACTCAGCATAAGAAGGGGGAAGGAGGGTGCTCTTTGCAGTCCTGGGCACCTCAATGCACCTCCCACCACCTCTTCTAAAATACAGAACTCTCTCCTTCGCAGAGCATGGGTGACAAGCCCACTAATGTGGTGAGCTGAGGTACCACAAGAATTAATGCCACAAAACAGTCTATAAAGCAGGTAATCTTGTTGGGTATCAAACACTTGCATTTGCCAAGTATTCTGAGAAGTTTTGATAATATTTTAACTCAGTTCCCACAAGAGCTGGTACAATTTATGAGCAAATATTTGAACTAATCACAAAAACTAAATAGAACATGACTTCTCTCTGCCTTAAAAAATGTTGGGAAGAACAAGGCCTGTACTTCAGCAAGTGACAGACCTTTGCACTCACTCATGTATACACAAGACTGCTGTGGGATCTATCTCCCATGCTCTGGTGGGACTGGGATGCTTTGAATGCTTGAGAAGAGTTTAATATTACAGTCTAATATTACAGCACCATTAGCATTATTAAGTGCCATGACTCGCAATTGATAGCAAAGGGATTTTTTAATAGTATTTTAGCCACATCCCTTCTCCACCCCCAGCTGGGCTCATTGCCTTGAAGTCTTGCAGCAGGCTCAGAGGAACTCTTTATTGAGATGTGCTGACTTTGCAAATGCAGCCCAAAGAGACGTGGAAGTGGAGCAGAGCAGTGCGTGAACACAGCCATGAGTGGGGACAGCACATGCGAGGCAGTGAGCCAGAGAGTCAGGACAGCCCCTGCAGGGCTGGCAGGGCTTTCAGTGCAGTCAGGAAAGATGTGCATGAATGGTGGCACCAGGATTGTTCACCCTAACCACACTGCCAGCTCCTCCTCTTTCCCTGAGTCAAAGTTTCCTCATCTTCCACTTCTTCTCCCATCCTTGTTGGGCTCAGGATTTCCATTGCACCTACAATTCCCTAGTTTGGGCATTGAAGGGAATTACTAACACTGCTGATTCCATAGAGAAGACAAATGGGCATCAGCACACTTGATGGCAGAAGAAAAACACATACTAGGTGCAGGGAGCAAAATATGGATGGCATAAAAAGTGCCACACTGAACAAACAAGTATATTTTCTCAAGAAAAGAACAAAAATATATTAAATACAATTAATGAATAGTAGAGCTTGAAGAAGCAAGTACTGAATGTCACACACGGTAGGATGAACCTTGGAAAGGAACTGCTGTGCAGAGTAAGACTGAAAAAGGTGTCTGCCACCCATCTGCACGCTTGCAAGACAAAGCAAAGAGGCCCAGCTCTCCTGTGGCTCTCAGCTTGCTGAATTTAGAATCTGTAATTTAATATCTGCAGAGACTCCAAACAACTGAGAAAAGTGCTAAATAAGAAGCAGCATCAGCTGTAGTAACCAAATGAGCTACAACACTGAACACAAAGTCAAGACAAAGATAACTTCACTGTCTGGTGATTTTGTTTCCAGATTAGACTTTGTTTTACTACAGGAATTAAAGTTCTCCTGGCATGGTTGGGAAGAAAGCTGTGCAGAGACCAGAACTGCCTACAAGGACTAAAGAACAGCCAAGGCTTGCCAAGGGGAAGGAGAAGCCCAGAGGAATGTGGTGGCTTTTACCACTTGAACTCATAAACAGCAAAATGCACTTCATTAAATAATACCACATTCTCCAGCTACAGGGAAATCTAAATCCTAAGAACTGCCATGATGCCCTGGCAAAGGTTGCAGTCTACCCCTCCACTGCTCCAAAAGTGGTGCTAAGGAAAATTTAGCAGGGAAGCAGATTTGTTATTGCCAAAATATACACAGCCATTGGCAGACAATTATAAGTGTTACTCAAAACCATCATCAGAATGAGAAATACTGAGTTCTCCCCACAGGAGGTCCTGTTAGGAAGAGGCTGAAGCGAATACAGAAGCTTGTAAAAATGTTATTTCCAGCAGGGAAACATTCTCAGAGAACTTCAGCATCTGCATATCCTTTTGTTCATAACGTAATGTATGACATGTGGTGGATTTGTAGCCCTGGCTTCACTTAAAGAAGCAGATGGAAGATCTTTAAATCTTTGGAGCATCTTCCCTAGGTAATAT